TTTCTCTAGTCTACTTCTCAGTGCCACCACGCGGTGGCGGCGAGCGCAGGCAGAACGCACGTTTGATGGCCTGAGGGAAAGCGTTCACCCATGCACTGAAAAATAGAGGCGCTGGCCCTCCCTCCTTTATTGCCTGGAGGGCTCATGCGATAGCATCTCCCCGTGTGTTAGAACTGCCGTATAATGCTCAAACAGAAAAAAAAATATCACAGCATATCCACGGAGTGAATGATGATGAGTGGGGCGAAGCGTCCATCCGTTCGTGCATGCGCCCATGCATTTGATCGCGTTCGAGAAAGCAGACGGCCCGCGGGTAACACCGACGAGATGCGAGCCAAGGAAGCCGAGCGGATCCAAAATAGTGGGATCTAATAATCGGATCCAAAAGTGTACGCTGCCAGCCTTACTTTGTACAACATTACAATTTTGTTATCGCATTCATTGCATCGCATTGAACGCCCTGTCGTGTTGTTGCCAGGACTTATCGCGAAGGCCACGGTCCCGAGAACTCGCGGTGCTAGACGGGTCGACCTTTAAAGAACCGTCATTGTCACCGTGGTATCAGGGAGTTTAAACCAGCGCCTACTCTGACATCTCCTCGATGGTGATGACACGCTTGTCCTCATTAAAAAAAAAAAGCAATGCTGAACCTCGTCGGCGGCCTCACCATGCGCGCCAAGTGATACCATGCACGTGCACACGGCATCGACAATGAAAAACAAACGACACCGAAACCGCGAAAAACTGTTTGGTAAGTCGCCCTGATATGCCTTTCGTGGAGCAGTGCTGCTCCACGAAAGTGATGCTAACTAAAAGCGTGGCACTGCCAATGAAAAAGTATTTTTTTTTTCCCATTCTTTTTTGGTTTAGAAGGTGAGGGAGGCAACATTCGCGCATGCGCTCGTTCCCGCAAGATCACCGGCCACGCCGGTTCGTGGGGCGCAGGCACGCCTTCCCAGCCTCTTCCTCTTGCCTGGGACTCGTAGGAGCACCAAGCGCGCCGCCGCTGCTTCGGCGTAAGCGGGGCAACTGCGGTATATGCATGCTAGTGCCAAAATGACAAAATCCAGGGCACAATTCTTAGATTATTTATGGCAAAAATTCGTTATATCAAGGATGTCTCCCACTGTTACTTTGTTGCTTTGAGCTCGCAAATACATGTGCTTCTATGAAGTAACGGCAGGGAATAGAAAAACTTCGGTATATAAAGGAATGAATTATATGGAGGTTTGTTATAAACAGAAGGTTAGAGCAGCTGCGCCATGCTGCGCCAAACCACCCCTGCCGCGGCAAACTCTCCTATCAGCGCCGCACTGCGCCGCAGCACCAGAATTAAGCTGCAAAATGTGAGAGCCGTGCCTGGAAACGTGGCTTAAACTTTGTCTTTTTGGTTTGATCAAAATGGGTATAGTTTTGGTTTCGTAAAGGCTGTGATCCAGGAGCAGCTGTGAACTTCGATCCTAAGGGTGTGGTTGCTATCGCTCAACGCGTGCGCTCACGGCAGGCATCAACGCGTGTAGTTCGCGAACCCTTCTACATGCTGTACTCTCAACGTGAAGAGACGGTGATAAGGGAATTTCTCCCTGGTTTATAGTTATGTGATATCAGATCTAAGAGAGCCTTGCATTTTGTTGCAGTCTGATACGTTGCTTTGCGAATCCGGTGAACTGTTTTTTATAACATGATGTCAGCGTTTGGAAAAGAAATCGAAGATTGCGGTAACTGTGCTCAAAAGAAAGGGGTGGTGTCCTCTTTTCCAAACAGCCTCGCAATAACCGGTGGGTGCACCATGCACATGAGTGCTCATCAAGCGTATGCTCGTTTTTGGTCATTGTGGTTTCACGCTTATCAACTCGACGGTTGTCGATCGCTTTTTTCGGTAAAAAAGCAAAAAATAAACATGGGCGGCGAAGTCGCAGTTTCAATGCAAGTGTGATGCAATGAATGCGATAGCAGCGAATTGCAAGGTTATACAAAGTGACATTGGCAGCTAACTTATTTGGATCCTAGCTCATATATGTAACTCTACAAAACGCTGGTGTACGAGAATTTGATCACTGCAAGGAGAGTAACACTTTTTGCACACTCTCAGTGTGTTGAGAGTGCAGCATGTTAAAGTGTATGAGTTTCGCTCGCTGGTGGCTGCCGAGCTAGCCTGTGCACCAGCGATCGCGACCACACCCTTAAAAGCAAGGTTCATAGTTGTTGCTCGAGTGACACATGGCCCTCCCCCCTCTCTGCTTGTTGCTTTAGGGGCAAAGCTCCTTAGGCTGTAGAGGCTCCCTCTGTAGTTGCAGTAGTAGTATGTAGCCACCTCTAGTTTGAGTTATTCGATAGATGGCGTTGTGTATATACGTCCTTGGGAATAATATAACTAGATGGTGTTAGTGGTCTTCACAGCATATCCACAGAGTGAATGATGATTAGTGAGGCGAAGCTTCTGTCTGTGTCCCCATCCGTTTGTGCATCCATTCGTTCGCCCGTCCATCTGTCTTTCCATGCTTCCGTCCGTCTGCGTGTCTCTCCATCTGTCTGTCTGTCCGTTCGTGCTTCTGCCCGCCTGTCCTTGCTTCCGTCAGTGCTTCCGTGCGTCCAGACAAACGAACACTTCACCCCACTCATCATCATTCACTCCGTCAATATGCTGTGATTTTTAATGCTCTTCCAAGACTGGTGGTGTGCTTCCTCTCTGCTTCGACTACAGGCCTCCCAGGTAGGTGTATCGAATGTTGTCGCATGCGACCTCCGGGCGGCGGAGATGGGCCAGATCGTTTGAGCTCTGCTTCAGCCGCGTTCGTCGCCCCCGCTTCGCGCTTTTACTCGTGGATAAAACATACGATACGCTGGAGTATATTATAAATTTGGAATTTACATGCGACATGACGGCAATGGCAAAAACCTGCTGGGTGAGTCTATAATATTTATATCGCGATAATCAGGCTATTGCACAATTTAGATGTGTTTAAAAAAAGGTTGCATTGAACATATGCATCATCAAAAGTGCTTTGAGTGGTGATAAGACTGCTCTGAATATTTCTACTGCTGTGAACGTGCTCGAAAAGGCCCTCATGGCTGCTCCAAGCCTGCTTTAAAAGGTCTCTCTGGCTGCTTCGAGCCTGCTACAAAAAGCATTTTTGCCTGCTCCCAGGACTGCTTCCAAACCCATGTACCCTGTTCCACCCCTGTAAGCAGGTTTAACTGCACATGCTTCGAGTTGTCAATGAATTCGCCCTTGCGAATTCGTACTGATTTTTGCAAAGCAGATACGCAAGTTTACTGCTAGCAGTAAAAAATACTTAACGTAAATACCCGCGTATAATACAAACCCGAATATAATATGTACGAGACCAAATTATAGAGGTGCGGAATGAAAAAAAATTGTACCCGCGTATAAAACGACGTAGGAAAGGTCACCGAAAACACATTTATTGAGCAGGCATCCGCCATGTCAATCGCTGTCGTCTTCAACTGCGATTTCCTCAGACATTTCCTTGTCAGACAAATCATCAAATAGGTGCTCGTCTTCTGCGCCATCGAGGGCATTAGAGATGCCGCACTACTTGAAGGAACGACGCACAAGGTCCTCTGGGATGCTTGCCCAGGCGTCCACAATTCATTTGCATAGCGTAGCCCATGACGCCCGTTTCAGCCGCCGGGTCGGCGTCACTGCAGGCTCACCTGAGCGCATCCACTCAGCGTAGCAAGGCTTTACCGCATATTTTTACGGCTTATTCACACAATCGTCGAGAGGTTGCAGTTAAAATGTCATCCCACCCGGGATCACGACCAGTTCCGTGCCGCAGTCGCGCAGGAGCCTCTTCACTGAGTCGGCCAAATGGCAGCGAAACGCGTCCAGCACCAGAATTGATGGAAAAGAGAGCAGGGCACCAGGCCGTCTGCACCACACGAACTTTACCCAGTCTAGGCCAAGGTCTTCATTCATCCAACCTTTATCATGACTCACGATGACATTCTTCGGTAGCTCCTCCTCTTTCGCCAATGTCTTGCGCTTGAAGACGACATAAGGTGGGAGCTTGTGGCCGTCGGCCGTGCACGATAACATCACTGCGACACGCGTTTTTTTCTTGCCGGTGGTATGGACACTAACCTGCTTCGAGCCCTTTTCATGAACTGTAAGGGGCCATGGCATGTCCAGGTAAACTGGCGTTTGATCGGCGTTGCCGATTTGTCCCACCTGGAAGTTCTGCAAGCGGCGCAACGTAATCACATGGCGTTGAAATGAGATAAGCTCTTCAAAGGCTTCAGGGAGCTTCTGAGAAATGGAGGTTCGCCAACGCAGGGAAAATCCGGCTCGGCACATGTAACGGTATATCCAGTGCTTGCTGGCTTTGAAGTCCGAGCTCGACATCCCCTTTTCTCTCGCCAGCTCCCTCGCTTTCATCTGCATGAGCTACGTGTTGACTGGCAAGTGCGCCACCCGCTGCTGTCGAACGAACTCTGTCAGCGCGAGTTCAATCTCTGGAAAGGCCCTTTTCTTTGGACTGCGAAAGCTTTTTCGCTTTCGCTGCGCGCAAAAAGAGCTTCTTTCTGTCGTCGCCATAAGCGGACACTTCCCTCGGTGACTCCGAACTGTCTTTCGGCCGCACTGTTGCTGATTTCCTCGGCAGCTGCGATGATCTTTCTTTTGAATGCAGCCGAGTACTGGTTTCGGTGCCCTGGCTTGTTGCACATTTGCGAAGTGAGGCACAGAACACAGTGAGGTTCACACGTCCGCCCGTCTGCTGTCCAAGCACTCAAGCAACTCAACAACAAAAAAAGAAATGGCGCTAGCGCTCACTTTTGCCACGCGAGGGTGCGAAGATAACAAAGCCAAGAGGCAGTTACGAAACCGAAACTTTAAGCACAATTTCGTTTTTCGAGCAAGTTTTCGCTCGGATCCGCACATAGTACGAAGCAGAAATTTGGAACACTAATATTTGGGAAAAAAACCTCGTATTATATGCGGGTATTTACGGTTATATAAGGAGGGAAGTGCTCACTTGTTTCCGCCATGAGCACACTTGATGAGCACCGCTCTCACTATGTTGCGCACCCGGTTCTGCAGGCTACGCAGGTCTTCCAAGATGGCGCATGGACTGTGCACCAGCATGGACTTGAAACAGCGCTGTTGAGAGACAACAGTCATTTTTCATTTTACGGTGTTGCTGCATGGACAAGCCTTGAAGAAATGTGACAGCAAAGGTAGGTGAAAAGGTTTTGTGTTCCACTTACCAGAGCAGTGACATACACTCTGTAGACAGGGTCCGCAATGGCATGCGAAATCACGCGACAGCAAGCGGCCTGTACAGCTTCTATGCCTCCCCATGGCTCCAGGCACATGGGTTTCGATGTGGCCAGTCGCAGAGCATGGGTCACCTAAGGAAATACAGGCGTGCCGTTAGCCTTGTGGGCTCATCTTGGCATACCATCTTAGTGTAAGCACACCTACATGTAAAACAGCTAACAATGCAATTCAGTAATTTACTGCTTGAAAAATGACAATGCTAGCCCATAATCATGCCCATTAGACTGTAGATCATGAGGCATCAGTTGTCCGATCTCTACTAGGATTGTGCACTTCCATATCAAATGCAATAAAAGATGTCACTGTTATTTAGTGATAGCTGAAGTATAAATTATTCAAGTTTATTAGTATTAATAAACTGGTTTTGATTCGTAGCATTGCATCCTTCAGGCACCATTTATTTTTGTAACCAGTTTACGCAACACTGCAACATTAGGAACGTTGCTGTAAAGTCTTTCTGATTTTTTTTTTCTGAGGAATTTTTCAGAGCCTCCAATTTACTGACAATTCCTGGTTTTCCATGATAGAAGACATACTGCTCTCAGGTTTAATGACAACTGTTTTGGAAACTGACATGCATTTTTATTATTTTTTCCCGCCACATTGTTCGCTTTTTCCTGCTGCGCTGCAGCAGTAGATGTTCTATGTAGTACCTCCACTTTGTTCATATCTCATATGTCAATGATTAAAAGCAGCGTTCTCCGCCAATGAGTTGCAATAAGAAGGCAAGAAGCAACACACCTGTGCCTCAACCTCAACTACCGCAGCTTCTCGCTCGGACCATACACTTGACATGAGGCATTGGGCAACTTCTGTGCCGAAGAACTGCATAGCCATTGGCGGTGCATTATTCACAGCTGAGCTGGACGGTGTTCCTACAGGCCTCGGCAGAGGGCTTACATCCGATGCACGACGTAGCAGACAGTGCAGTGGGCATGGTGGTAAAAGGATCTCATCATCATCTTCTGGCTGTATTGGCTTCCTACGATAATAAAGAAAAAGAATGAAAGGACACACATATTTAGGGGAGATGCTCCCGCAAAGTCAGTTTTTCCCAAAGATACATATTTTTGGTTTTTACCAGTTTAATTTCTCTACTTTAATGAAAAAAAAACATCAAGACTGTAATTTAATTAAAAGTAGGTTAAAGTCAAACACCACAATGTGGCTATTAAAAAAAAACTCCTCTGGAAATTGTCACCTAGCTGCTTGCGATTTCATTCCACATGAGGAGTTCATCAAAGCCACATTCAAAATAACAATGATTCCCAAACTCTCATCATGCATTAAACCTTTTTAAAAAGTATATCATTGTCACTTAGGTGAGCTTCCATTTTTATGCCTAAAATGCGTTTTTCTCATCATGGAATATTGAACCACTCCTTGAGTGTGGACATGATGTTTCTCTCACTTCTGTTTGCCAGATTGAGATATTTTTACCACATATTCCTTAACATGTGGAGAGTGCAGTTATCTCCTTTAGAAGCTGATATCACTGATATAATTATTATGAACTTAAAGTAAGGAACTAGTAGGGCTGAGCATTTCAAGACTTGTCACATTACAATTCTTCCTGCTCATTAAAATGTCTTAAACACACCATCTTGATTGTTATTTGCATTCTACAGCTAATATGGTGAAAAACTATAAAGGTTTAATGGCAGAGAAAGTGTCCAAAAAAAAAAAAAGTTGGCATGGTACAAAATCAAAACTATGCAACTCACTCTAAAGCTGATTACTCTTTGAAATCAGCAATAAAAAATGTACAATCAGCAAAATTTTCATTGTCCTAGGCTACAGAAAAAAAAAAAAGCTTTTTTTTTTCAAGTAGCATCTCCCCTTAAACAAGTAGCAAAGTGTTAACATCAGCATATTGTTGGAGATCTCAGGCAATATATCTCTAGCCGATCGTCAAGCTAACTTTCAGTATGTCCTTTAAGGGGACAGGGTAAGCAAAATTATTGAAAAAAAAACTTTTTGTGTGTTTTGGTGTTAATTCTGCAGCCTTTTCTGAACCAGAATTAGTCGTTTGCTTGTCTTAGTAAGATATTTTTTTTTCTCCAAAAATGACATATTTCAGAACTTGTGCGGCGGCCTGCCATGCCCCCATTTCTACGTAGCAAAGGATTCCTTGTAGTTCAAACATCACAGCCATATGGAGAAGTTACAGTTAGCAAGCTGGAGTGCATTTGGATCATTAAAAAAATATTGGGCCCAGAACTGCAAAAACAAAATAAAGCAGAGGCGTCAAGCTTTTTGTTGGGAAATCTTTATCTGGTCAGGGACGTCTTAGTAGTGCCATCATTGGCAAGCACCAAAACTATTATCGTTAGGCCATTAAAAGAAATAGAGCCAGCTTGGAGGATATGTGAAAAGCTGTCCGGTTCACATTATCTCACATGGCAGCAGAGGATACCAATCATTCTCATGGCCTGTGCTCGAAGGACGTCATGGTGTGAATTAAACAAAGCCCAGTTGAATGGTGAACCGTTCATTCATAAAGAACATCTTCCAGCATCTGTTATTGAGGCTGTTAAGCCAAATTATCTGATACTAGCTCATCCAGAATTAAGTTACTTGCTAAATGCCCTAATGGGAAAACTCAAAACCATAACGAATCGTTACATAGCAGCGCGGGACTGCGCTACAAAAAATGTTTTTCTCGGGCACCAAACACTGTAAATATGCGCTCTGGATGCTGTGTTCACTTTTTATGATGGCAATATAGCCCTTGTGAATGTGCTGAACTATTTTGAAATTCCGCAAGGGCACTGCACAGTGCAGGGCCTACGCACCCTTGAACTGCATCGACAGCACTGCGCTGACACGACTGCATAGCAGGCGACAAATGAGAGGCTTGTCAGGCAAGACGTTTGTACGCAAAGAGAAAAAAATTGCATTAGGGATTAGTATCTGGCTGGTGCCTCTTGAACGAGTTTGTCAATTGGCTGTGATCTCGTACTTTTGAAATAATGCAGATTTTCAACTTAAAGTGCGATTATCTGAAAATGTGCTTTTTTTTGTACTTATGTTCCTTTTTCTCAGTTACCACTGTATCTAGAATCATAGATTTTTCCCAGTATTTAGATAACGTAATAGGAAATATGCTGAAGCAGAATATTGTTGTGTGAGGAAGGGCTCTTCTGCAACACGACATCTAATAGCTATTATCGAGTGATAATTAGGTACCCCAAGTAAAGAAAAAAAATTACAAAAATTAGCATTGCAATTTTTAGTTCTAAATCTGGCTCAGTAAGAAGAGGAATGGCTAATGATCACGATGATACTAAAATAGTTGCTGTAGCTCTTATGGTAATGGAGAAAAAGGCACAAAGTTCGCCTAATAAAGATGGTGGGTATAAGGCTTACATGTTGTTCCCTTAAGAATTTAGTAGTGACAGCAGTTAACAGAAAACTGTTCTTTGGCTGCCGTAATAAAATTTTATACAGAACTGGTGTAGGCAATGCATCGTTAAAAATTTACATCCTTGTAGTGTTGTTCAGTGCATTGTTTGAAATCTGGGCAATGCTGTTTGATTCATTCAACAAACTAAAATATGTGTAGCATTTTACTATAGGATTTTAACAATGCATTCAAACGTCAATGTAATAAAGGCACATGGGGCACAGAATGGCCTCTGTAGCATTACATAGTGTCATGGACAAAGTTATTTGTTTTGTATCAATGCTCATTATATCGTGCCCCATCTGTGATAGCCTGTAGGCCCGTGTGCTCAGATTAACCCTATGTGGTCGAAATTTCCAGAGCCTTCCACTACGGCGTCTCTCATAATCATATGGTGGTTTTGAGACGTTAAACCCCACATATCAATCGATCATCTGTGATAGAGGATAAACACTTGATTGAAGGTCTGAAATTGGGTGTAAATATATGCAATGAGGCATGTGAATAAGGTACGCTGTTGTTTATGGGGTTGTGGAGCAAATAACAAGCAGATGGTCTCACTTTGTTAAGGGCGGCGATGAAGATCGGTCATCTTTCCAGTGGCACCGACAAAGAGGGCAGACAACAGGCTCTCCGTTGCGACTACATTGCAGGACCCCTGTGAAGAGAAGGGAAGAAAAAAAAAAAAAGGATAAGAAAGTAGTACTCAAGACTACAAACTTATGCTGAATTAAAAGTTAGTGGCAAGTTTTCTGTGTTTGTGTCAACATCCGATCTCTCCCCTACGCTGCATTTTTATATGCTGCCCCTTCAGAGTTGCCAGTACCGCTTATAATAAGAGGATTTGGGATTCTTTTTGCCAAGTCGCTTGTAGAATTTTCCAGTTGCTTGTTTCATTTTTAGGGCTTATTCGTATTTCTTCAGCAAATCTAGGTAGTTATTTTAGTTTATCACATTCATTCATAGCCCATTTGTAAATGTTTGAGAGTAGGTGAGTGATGAAGTCAAACAACCGTGGAGGGAATCGACAAGTAGCATTATTAATCATGCATTGGAAAACGTGCATTCAACCAAATGAGAATTATCTTGGAGACAATGCTAAAAGTAACTATGTGCTTTCGTTTTTGTTGTACTCTTTTTTATTAAGTGATTTGTTTATTATATTTGACCATATTATCGAGAATGTGAAAATTCATTAAGTTTCCGCTTCTTTTCTAATTCTTTGCAAGAGTTTTGCCACTTTCGAGGGGGGGAGTGGGGGCTCCTTTTGTGAGAAATATTTGCTTTTTAGCTTGTTAACATCTGGCAACTTTGTGCCCCTTTGTCTTTTAAAATATCCAGGTAACAACCAGTAACAACCAGTCCAATTATCGACATTACAAAGCCCAGTGCAAAGGTCACACTTACATATCGAGGCGCAGTGATGGTGCAGTTGATTTCCACAGCCTTTGTCGCAGGTGATTACTGACTCTCCTTCAAACATCTCCAGCAGACAGATGGGGCAGGTACTGGCGTCGTCACCTTCGCTGGGATTTGCAAGACAGTTTGTTCTATGAGAAAGCGTATTACGTTACTCATAACTAGTATTGACAAGGAACTCAGAGTAGACCTGCAAGCAACTTGCAGTTGTCAGAATAACTTCAAGTACACGTAACTTGAACTTGTCGCATTCATTTATATGAGTTGCATAACCTTCTTCAGTCCCCATGACCCCATTAGCGGTCAATGAGACGAGTAAGCGCAGCTAACTCTAAAGCACATACTTTACCCCGATGCCATTTCGCAGGAAATTCGACGTTGGAATGGGCTTCATTTGTTGTGATCGAAAAATCATCTTGGCCGTGACCGAAAAATTGGGAAAGATGTAAAATTTCCAGTGAAATGCAGTGAAAGTAACTTTCTCTGCTTGAAAATACAGTTATTATGACTTTCATGCTTTCGCAAACATATGCGTTCCTGTACCAGGTTTCACATGGGGTAAAGCCTGTGTACAGGACACGTGTCATAAACAGTTATTCACACACAATTAAAATTACAGTAATATTGCATGGTACACATGTACATTGCCATCGGGAGTCGGAACATTATCACAACGACTTCATGGTTTAAAGCCGGCCTCCCACTACAAAAGGCGACGTTACTGCGCGTATTCTCTTAAGACCACGTTGTGGGTGCACAGCAAGTTTGAAAACATTTCAAGCACATAATTGCTTGTGCTTTAAAGCATGCTGCCTATTACACAGAATGCAGCCCTGTGTGAAAACTTCAGTGACACAAGCCACTTTCAACTTTATCGGTTTCATTGTAGTAATCCACAACGTGGCTTCTCTAGTAACATCATGCAATAAAACGGATGCACTAAGCAGGCACTAGGGACAGGATATCGCTAACGCGTTTCAACACTTAAAGGCGAGCTTAAGGGTCCCCCAATTTTTTACCTTCACCTTGACTTTCTCGAATCGCATTGAGAGCGTTACTTTACTTGCATTCAATGAGATGGTGTTTCATGTTGGGCATCTGTGATGCACGGCGTATTGAAGATGTAGTATGTGTGTGAGAACCCTGCTTGAAAATTCCCAACCAAGTTTTAATGAATTTTCATGAATTTCTGTGTTAACACTGTGGTTAAGAGCTCTTAAATTATATAATGGCATTTTAATAATTAACTTCATTAATAAATTTTACCAGTTTTTTTCAGTTGAAATATATTGATCAGTAATTTCGATCTTTATACTGAAGATGACAACTCCCTTTGGGGATTGAATGGTGCTTTTAACTGTAAGTGTTAGCGTATTTATTGTGTACGAACATCACTAAAAAACGTAAAGGGACAAAAAAGTTATCAGGTCAAGAGCAATCACAAATGCAAACTCTACGGTGAACGTGGAACTACTTAGCTACAGAAGCTAAATAAACCTACTCAAACACTTCCACTTTTGCACTTTGTAAAAATGCATTGTCACGAGATCCCGCCATCAGATCAATTACGTGCCTCTAGATCTTGTTGGACATATCTTTCATAATACATCTAGGCTAAACTCTATTTTTGATGCATTCTGCCTAAGGAAGTATTTGAAGTCTTCTTACACATCACGGCTGCCTGTTTTTAGATGTGCTGTCAACAGCATCTTCTAGATTTTTGGCAGGGCAGTCTGGTGACTTGTCATCGGTCAGTGGGCCTTCGGACTGCTGGGAGGTCCTACGTCGTGATATAGAGAATCCACGTAGGAGCTCATCCACCTGTCACAAAAGTGAATCATGTGTCAGCTGATTTGGGCATGCATGAATATATACAAATGTTATCAGAAAGTTGCTTAAGTGCATTTGTAAGAGCAGTTATAAACAACTATCACGAACACGGGTCGTGGCCACTTAAAAAAAAATTGGTAAGGAATGAGTTACAAATAAAAAGAAGTCACACAAAAAATAAAATCTAGAAAACATGATGCACATTGTGCATTCCTTAATTAGAACATTTAGTGGTGCTAAAAGCCATGGCAACAACATCCATGAACTGCAAAACTACTGTTAGCATCAATTTAATAGGTTAGGGCTACTCCAAGAAACACTCGTATAGACAACACATGGACAAGGCAGCTGTCCAGCTGGCAAAGAGACCGATTGAGAAAGCAATTTGTAGACTTTTGAAAGGAACAAACAAAGCAAATTAATCGAAGACAAATAGCAAAGGGTATGGGAGAGATACTACTGTTACAATTGACCTTCACTGGAAAACATCACGAAGACACGCGCCGCGGTTTGACATGTTCATAGTAAGGCACCAAATGCATTCAGTAATGCATATAATTAAGTTTATCCTCACCTTTACGGAGCAAAACAAAAGTGGTAATGAATGCAATCGTTGTAATACCCCTATCCAGTGTATGTGCATGTCTGAGGATTTGGAGGGTACAAATTAAGACATTTTTTTTCATAAAGGTCCCCATGCTGTGCACCTTTGCTTGTCTGCATCAATCATGCTTTTCTTGCCTTCTTAACATTAGTCAGTTTATCCAACAACGTACTTAGCTATAACATGCATGCATAAATGCTAATGTTTCTGCACTACAACCATCTGCTGTGGCACTCATTACCTCGAATTCCTTGAGTGTCTTGCTGAACAGACGAGCATCCGTGTCGGTCAAACGTAAAACCCTGAGCATTACAAACAGCAGGTGCACACAGTGGGGGCCCTTGCCACAGCTGCAGGTCTGTAGTGAAAGAAAACAACCACAATTGAAACCGTGTGCGCATGAATAGCATAGCTGTTAGGTAACCGAGCAATCATTGGCATCATCATCAGCCAGACTACGCCCACTGCAGGGCAAAGGCCTCTCCCATGTTCCTCCAATCAACCCCATCTTGTGCTTTCTGCTGCTATGCTATATCTGCAAACTTTTTAGTCCCGTCGGCCCAATTAACTTTCTGTAGAACTATGTCAAATTACCTTAACAGGTTGACGAAACAAACTTTAAGTGACTGCACTACAGTTGAACCTTACAGCTATAACAAACCTCTGCACAGGGTGGAACACACCTATGGTGGACACCTCTAGTATTTTACTTCACTGAGGGAAATATTCATTAGATGATGCATAATTATGGTGTTGATGAACAAAACAATAATTTTATTCTCAGTCTTGTAATTATTAGCTTCTATAAGGTTTTAAATGCTATATGTTACAGGAAAGGTGGGGTAGTTGGTTTGGCTGCGTAATGAAACTTATGTGCATGCAACATGAAGACACAAATGAAAGGTTCACAAGCACCATGTGCAACCTATCATTTGTGTATTCGTGTTGTGTTTCGCAAAAGTTTCATTATGTTCTAAATGCTGATCAGGTGTTCAGCTCATATGTCAACGACCTTCCTGTACATACATTCTAGAATGAAGCAGACAAAAAAGTGTTTCTCACAGATGCTGTCACGAATAGAAGTAGCCAGATTCGTACAGAACTCGGCGTTCTAGTGATTCTATAATAACAAGGAGCACTCTGCAAACTGTAAACAAAGAAAAAGAAAGCACCATAAGCCTCTGACTTTTATATTCCTGCTCTGTGTCTTTGACTTCAGTTCGCACCCTTTGTATTAGGATCCATACCGGCCCACCCAGTTATCTTTATACTTTGACGAAGGCGTGCTCCTTTCGAATAAGAATGGCAGATACCTCCAGATGTGACTTGTGCAATAGTGACTAGACAATAGAACATCTACTGTGATCATGTGATGTTTTTGCGAGCGGAATGCAATGTGCTACGCGAAACGTTAAGCACTCTAGATAATGGACCTTTTTTCGAAGAGAAGATCCTTGGTTCCTAGCTCTACACGTCGCAAGCTGCAAAGCGACACGGGCATTGCTAGGTTTCTTAAAGTCAACCGAACTAAGTGACCGCTTATAATAAGCCGGATGTGCGCCTAGTTGACCTCCCTGCCTTTCATTTCTGCCCTTCTTCCTCCTCCTTGTTGATAGCGATTGCCCTGCATGCTTACCTGCGGCCCCAGAACCACCTTGAATCGATGGTCAGGCTGGTCGGCAGCTATGAGGAAAGAGCGTGGTCCTGGTTGGTAGAGCAAGTACAACCGCACTCCGCGGCGCACCTGCAGAACCCGTCTACGGATTGCCTCGGCTAGCTCAGGGGGGCAATCCAGTGCTAGTGAGGTGTGTTGACTGGGTGAAGGGCTGCGTCGTCGGGGTGGTGGCGAAGTACCACACTGTGGGACAATGCACAAGATTGTGGCGAAATTTCAATTTAACTTCAGTCAGAACAATTCATTAAAATTTTGATGCCCTCTTACTCAGCATATGAAATTTAGAAATGCAGTTCATCTCATTGAAACCATTGCACTCATATTCACAGTTTAAGGCTTTCTATGGAGACTCACCCTATTCTCTATCTTGAAAGTTCCTTTCAGCACGCGCTGTGAAACCTACGGGGCTCCTAAGCCAACAGGAAGTTCCTTTCAGCACGCGCTGTGAAACCTACGGGGCTCCTAAGCCAACAGGAAGGGCGACCAGCCCCTCTGCATGTATTAACTCCAGGTTGCATTGCCTGCTTGGTGTTTCGTCATCGGCTTGCACGCGTAAGGCGAGTATAGGAGAGCAAGCAACACTGCTGGGGGTGCAAAAAAAATAAATGAAAATAAAAATAAAAAAAAGGCTTGGTGACCTCTGCTTCGAATTTATCAAGATTGTGCACCGGGGGATCCATAAGTTACAAACTGATACTGATGCTTTAGATTTTTGTACTGGTGCTTTAATAGCAATGAATAAATGACTGTTGTGCTAATTTCACAAATTATTATTGAATTCTTGGCACATTAGGCTTTGCAGGCATGGCTAAACAAAAAGCCTATTTCGCAAATGTGGAAAATGGACCTGCTGCTTTGTCCTCAGCGCGAGATGGGACAAAGCGATGACTCATTCAACTATTTGTTGCTGCCAGTGCAGTGGGGCAAATAAGAAGCGCCAGCTCAGATCAAAGCGGACGGTTGCGTCTGTATGGGCCCTGCCATGCTGATTTGTAACCACACTTACCAGCGATTAATAATACAGGAACTTAAGGCAAACGGCATCTATGCTAAGAAGGGTAAACATATCGCACACCAATGTGACATAACATGGCTCATGATAACGTACTGCTGGTAATTTCGCAAGCCTCTCAAGCTGTTGGCTGAACGCTGCCACATGTGCATCATTTCATTATGACTTATCAAGGATGGAATAAAACATCAAACACTGAAGGATATTTTTAAATTGTCAACGTGTTTAAAAGGAGAGCAATTGCTCTAACAAGTCTATAGAATACAGCAGGTCGTCAACAATGATTGTGTTTTTGTGAGTGCAATGTGCAATTAAGCATGTCATGTTTTAACGTACTTGATCAATGAAAAAACAACTTTGTTGCTGTGGTAATATATGCTTGGAGTTGTCAGCAAGGAAACTAGCAGAATGCTTATAAGCGCACACCTTTTCTGGTAAATTGGATGATGTTATTGCATCAGATTTCGTTGTAGTAAAATTCATTTATTTACAAAGCTGTTTGTTTTGTCAGGTATTTTAAGTAGCATAATGTTCACTTTGACTGTAAAAGAACATCGAAAAGCTATACTGCTAAGCCTTGCGGGAGCCTGTGCAAAAAAGAAAATTGGCTTAATCATACGAATGTGGCACAATCAGCATATTACAATTACGAGCAGGAAACATGTTCAAATTCAAACAAGGCTAGTAGTTTAGATTTGAGACTGCATTTGTGCACTAAACATGGAGCAAAGAACGTGCTCATAACATGTTACAGGTAGACTACAAGTTCAATGCAATAATTTTCTAGTGTTTTTTTTTTTCCTGTATAAACATCAAATTGGCATTTCTAGAAAAAAAGCTAACCTGTTTGTAAAACACTAAATGGACGCCTAACAAAGTTACTTAGCTAATGGTAGTGAACTTCAAGTGCTTATGTGTTGTCTTTGAAAGCAAAGAAAGCACACTTACCATACAAGAACCACAGATCAACTGAGGCAAGCGAACTGTTTTCTGTTCTTTCAAAATGTTTGATGCGACGTTAGTTGAAGCCCTAAGGAATGTCTAAACTTTGCTCGATCACAATGGGTAGCATGTCAATGAACGCTCCGAAGAGACAGGTGCGCTGTCGCGGGGGGTCGCTGACCTCGTGAAAATGAGCCTTGCACCATGTTTTGAAAACAAGCATGCGAGCAGTTGTCGATGTGAGAGACAGACCAGTGAGCCCTAGAACTGCGAAAGTCAGCCAGACAGCCAAATGGCAATGGCATGGAATCCATTTAGCACGGCTGTTGACCCTTGATTATGCACTACACAAATGTTGCTGGTGCACATCAGAGCCAGACTGGTAATAATGGAAAACTTCTGTCTCCTGCCCTATAGGTTACACAAAACTATATAGTTTATCATCAGTTAATGAAAGACATTATTTGAGCCTAAGGTAAACTAAGACATTTAGTTTGGCTCCGTTGAATGTCAACAAGCTTGATAATTACACTACACATCCACAGTTCACTGAAGGAAGTGCTACATTTGATGGAATATTTAGTGCCTTGTGTTCTGTCAACATTGGCTTAACAAAAGTCTTTCTTTCTTTCTTGATAGGCTTGAAGCAAGTATATTTAACTTTTGCATGTTCAAAATATTTTTTCAGTAAATGGAACAACTGGCTGCACACTGAGCTCTGTAATTAAGATGACTTAGTAGAAAAGGCAGAAAGCATCACTGTGTCATCACCTTTACTATCCTTGAGCAGAGTCTTAATTTTGAAACACTGATATGTTTATCAGCAATCTATATAAATCATATCATAAAGTATTAAAGTGGAGGTAGCTGCAGCGCATTTTTGACGTGCAAATTTCAATAGATGTGTAGATAATTAAAGTGCAAATGCACCCTTGAAATGATGCAATTCTGGTAGAATGCTTTCACGACAAAAGGCATTTCATCTAAGAAATGCCCGGGTATGCACTTGTGATAACATAACACATTGAAGCTATCGGAGAAAAAAAAAGTTAATTGTACCTACCAAACTTGGCAGTTTGGCAGTTTCGGAAACATAAGTTTCCTTTGGACAGTGCATGTAAATTAAGTGCACGCACAGCCTGTCACCGCCATCCTTGCTTCTTTGTCCAATATATGGGCTACTATACTTCTCACCGCATTTTAAGCATGTCCTACAGTCACAGCAATTGTATGTCTCTGCTATTAATCTCCAGTTACAAAATTTGTGCCAGCTAGCTTGACTCTGTGCCCGCAAATTTACTTAACTTACTGTGCCACCTAACTTTATGCCATTCTAGAGAGACTGCTTATTCGCTCAAACACTTTTCGGAGTTAGACATGACCAATTGCCAATTATTTGATATGTGCAACAATGTATGGTCTGCCCAACTCCATTTAACTCTCTTAATAGTTCCGCGAATTTCAAATCGTTGCTTTCTTTTTCTGATTTCATGGAATTGCACCGATTATTGCTTCTTTTTAATTAATCACTTTTGTAAGTCTCTAAGTAATGGGGTTCCATTTACTACTGTTAACTGTTGTTAATTACTGTGACTGTTGTGACTGTATGTTACTGAGTTTATGCCAAACACTTGGTATGCTTGAATAACCCTTGCATAAAGAAATTTCAAATTTTGATGGCAATAATGATTTATGCTATAGGCTTTTTTTGATACAGAGCTAGTCTGTCACTCCCCTCCCCTTCCTGGGCACTGCTGAATGGGTCACTTGGCCTATGCAAAATAAGAAAGCTAAATTTTTGATTGCAGATGCATTTACCTACCATAACTAATAGGGACGTGAGGCATACTGAAATTTAGAACCAAATCGAATACGAATAGAGTAGTGATAATAATCAAACCATATCGAATACAGTTACACATCGAATACTATTAGAATAGTTTTCAAAAAGCAAAACAACCATTTCCAAGACAGGCCCTGAATTTTGCTATTTTTTCTTCTTCAAACAAATATTCACAAATCGTAATGAAGTAACATTAACAGTACATTTAACCAACGAAAAATGCAATTATGTAAAGGTCGCGACTACAGCCTTTGAGGTATTTTTCAACTGCAGGGTGAATATACCATTTGTTTCAGTATTCTAGGTAATAATACTTTGTCAGCCGAATAACACTAAGACTTAAAATTTAGGTAACGCCATAAACGGATAGCATGAATCTCATGACAATGACAGTGGATTGAGGGCACGTTCGCTCCGACGACACTTGTGTTAATTGTGAAAATTCTTTCAACAGGTGATTAGTAAAGCTTCGATAGTCCTGCAAAAGATTGACCTGCATGTATCTTGGTTATTCACTGATTCAAACCATGATAAACAGCCTTCACTCTTCCAATATGCTGATCCTTTCGGGTTTTCCTTTCGGAGCTAATTATTCAAAAAGTATTGAAGAAACACTCACTAGTTCGAATATGTCTTATTGGGCTCATTACTTTAAAATTCCCAATGTTTGTACACCCCTAGTAATTAGCCAAGTTTTGCATGCAGCAGGAAGTGCACACAACTACTGAAAGAGTGCACTCACAGAGCGGCGGGTAATGGGTGTGGTCGATCGATGTCGCTGGGTCGTCGTTCGTGTCGTCATCTCGGGTTCCTCACCCGCACGGGGAGGATCCGGAGCTTCGGGTGGCCGAACAGGGGTTGGGGGCGGAGAGGGCTTGCGGCTGGGCCTCTTGGTGGCAAAAGAGGCCCCCGTGCCCTCAGTGTGGGAGATGCTCCGGCTTTCAGCCTCTTGTCCATCAGCCTGCATTTCAGAGCACTGAGCGATGAACTAGTCTTGGTTGGGACAAATGTAATATACACAGGGTTGGTCATAAAGATGACAACAAATGCACCGACTTTAGCTATACTCTGCGATTTGTGTAGCTATGCAAGTAGTATGGCAGCTTGTGGCTGATTTCTGTTTTCTTGCTAGCATCAATAACACATTTATAAAACTATATTCACGAAAATGTGAGCGGGAGAAACATTGCAATGGTTCAGTGTACATTTTGGAGTCTTATTACAAGTATATTTTTCACGAAGAACTAAACAGCACATTTACGGCTGCACACTGACCCATTATGAATGCCATGTCTACTTTAGAAAACGGGTGTGTCGAAAAGCTGGTGCTTGTCTTTGTATTTCGGCTGCTGCACTCCTGGTACTGCCGAAACCACAGCTATTTACTAAATCAAACGTGAACTGGGGAGTAACTGCATTGCAGTTTTTTATTATTGAAAACGCATGAAATTGATCAGGGCCTGTGTTTTCAACTGCTATGACCATCACCACATTGAGTTCAGAATTACTGTACCGAATTCCTGTTGTGTCATGTAGGAAAGAAATACATTCATAAGCTACTCAGGAATTAGAAATAGCACTTTCAAAAGTTAGGCCACCTTTGTCCCTACAATGGGCAATGTCAACTGAAAGCTGGCTGCATGAATTGCTACTTAGAGCATTAGCTTGAAATTCACCCAAGCTGCAAATGTCTGTCACTATATTAAAAAGTGAACAGTGTGTCTTTGCTCACGGTCGTGTTGTCGTTGACATGCTTCACACATACAGGCGCTCGCCTAGCATGTGACGTGCTGAGTGCACCCGCACTGGTGTGCTTGCGGAGGGCCTGCAGCTTCTCTTTAATGTCTCGCACCGACACCGGGTGCACCTGCTGTAGGCGTTCCAGCTGGGTAGCCATGTCTCCCGGATGGCTCCTGAGTGAGAAAACAGATGACCACATTTCACTTGTGCACTCCCCGCAACATACCGTGGAAACCCATGTAAAAGGCCAGTTATGCAGCCTGGAATATATTGGGAGAAACACCAACTCTGAATTCATGCAGTGTAAGAGAAATTCCAACCTGCATATTTTGCCTATCTCGATGCATTACAACCACTGATTTTCAAGTAATAGCTACAGGCATTCGAATTTCAGAGACCTCCAAGGCAATGCTGCATGCTTAGGATGACTTAACCACGAGCATGCTGGTGTACCGAGCATAAGCAGCTGTGGTGGCGATAGCAAAGGCAAGTAGCCTGTTGTGCGGCACATATTAGTGAATAACTAGATTGATAAGGATAGCATCTGTATGTGTGGTGGTAAGGAGTCCCGCAGGATCAGATGGTGTTAGCCAATGCAAGAGGGGCAAGTCATGGCTTATTGACACAGGCCTTCATCCTACACCAACATGCTGCCACAGTAGTTGAATAAACTATCCGCAAGACAAATAAAATCGGTGTTCAGGTTACAGTATTGCCTTTCCTTTTAATGCAGCAAACAAAAGAATGCACATGTGAGCACTTGTATATTTCTCGGCACAACAGAGTATGTGTAAAGTAACCTCTGAGGGACGCGCTCGAAAAAGACGTCAAGTGTTTTCGTGTGCAGGAAGTAAAAGGCTGACAACCTTTCTTGGTTCGTCAAAACAAGACAGCCTCTTCCTTTCCCGACAGCCTCCTGTCCCAGAGTGCCACAGCCTCAGCCGAGCCGGTCGTCAACCTTCAGCGACAATAACAGCCCGTCCTAGGACACGAGACGATGAGCCATCTCAAGGCAAGGACACTGAACCTGCCATTATGGGTAGTTGTAGTTCTTTACAATCGTTTCTTGGCCCATGCTTAAATACACAGATGCTGATTGGCAGATGTCACTTCTTCACATTGCACATTAATTTTAGGCAGTATTGTTGGAATGGACTGCTTCAATGGACATTAGAATGTTCCTTCGTTCACTGCTTGTTATGTATGTTGTTTGCATTTAAAATAAGTAACTCAACGACCTCAAAACTTATATCAGTAAGTCTTTCACGCAGAGTATAAGCGTACTGGGAGGTTTGCTGGAAGCCTGTCTTCACAGGTCAAGAACCACCCGCTGTTGCCATTATCTGGTGTTCGATAGCCGACTGGTCTACCAGCATCTTTCTATCGCTCCCATTAAAAAGAGACAAATAACGATTTAAACGCGCAAGCAAAATGTTCATGGTGTTATTTAATCGAAAGCTGTCAAGCACCCAGGCTACACCGAATTCTGCCGTCAGGTGTCAGACGAAATGTCATGCAACAAGTCCTAAAAAAGAGGAGGGTAGTCTACAGCGTCGCAATAGGTGGTGTTGCACTCAGATACATGATACACTTCCCCGAACTGCGGGAATGACACAGAAATTGGCCACGTGATTTTCTTCTCTGTTTACTCGATGGTCAAGGGGCAAAATATGCATCCCTAGCTACTCTCGTCTTTTCATCTACTTTTTGTTATTCTATGACATTGATCATGCAAGATGTACTGTGCAGTTACCTGCCAAACAAAAAGCACCTTATCTATCTTTTAAGCTAGCTGTTGTGAACACCAAAGCTGGTCCCATAGAGCAGTTAACAAAATCTCTCATAAAGGGATACTATGAAGATGTGAGCTCAGAAGGCTTGTATTAATTATAGACCTCACAGACATTTATCTATCATGGTGTCACCAGAAGTCTGTAGACTCATTATATCATTCATTTCAAACTTTACTTTTCTTAATTTCATGGCTCTAGGTTGCTTTTAGAGGAAAGAATGATGGTAGGTTTTTTTTTTTCTGAATTTGAACTTCACAAAAAAACCTCAGTATCAGTACATCAGTGTGACATGACTTTGGACATATTGTGACGATAACTAAATAGCACATAGGAAGACGTGGATTTAGAAAAGGAAAAGATGGAACTGGCACTTAATTTAAACCAAGGTTCATTTCATAGCAGACAATTAGTATACAATCTTACATAAGTGTACACCAGGTTGTCAATGATTTGCCAATGAACAAACTTCAGTCTGAAGTAAATCAATGCTTGCTGCGTTCCCTCCCACATTTATCTTCCATGCTATTGTCACCGTGCAACTTTTCCGATATACTTAATGCGCCACTTTTGAAATTGCGTTTGAAAACTTTAAATAATTAGTAACAAGCTATCCAGTGTATTTGGTAACATGATCAATGGCCAAGGTTTGTGCAGTTTCATGGATGTCGCCTCTACAAATGCAGCTACAGAATACTCAAACCTGAGAGCACAGTCAACACACTTTTATCAGCACTGTTGAAACGGCTAATCTCTTAGCCCTGAACCTGGCAGCCTTCAGTGTGCTCAAAAATGTTATTCTGAAAGTAAAAAACTAACTGCAGTTTATTCAAACAACTAGCTTTTGAGATGAAGCCATGAGGTGTAGTATTATATTAGGAAGAAACAAGTGTTCCATTTCGGCATAAGTTTTGAAAGATGGGGTTTTCGCCACATCTAATTAGCCTGCGACTAACAATAAACAGCAACGATTTTCTTATGTGTACAATAGGGTAAGTTAATGTGGCCAAGCCGATAAAGGCAGACTTTCCGATTCTTTTTAATTTTGATGAAGCAACAAGCAAAACCACCTCTCCCAGTGGCCACTTCTCACTATCCTGTGGGCCAAAAAAAAAGTGAGAACATGTGCAGGAAGGAAGTGGAGAAAAATGATGCTTTTTTAAAGTGAACGTCAGCAAATGTACCTATCTCTGGTTTGAATTTCAGTTGTGCAGCATACTTTCTTGTTTTTCTTGGCATGAATGCATGCTGCGCACATGTGCTCCTAAGCCAATAGTGCTGTTGCCCAACGGGGCTGCGTGCCTCGCAGACAGCCTGCCGCCAGGTGCGACGTGTCACAGAAACGGAAGTGTCATCCATCATGTGTGCTGCGTATTGCGTACGCAGCAACTCGGCTTTCGAAGTGGCTGCTGCTGCAGCTGCAAGTCTTTTACTTGTGCCTAGTGCACGTAATGCGCTTTGGCCATAGACTCAAATGCTGCCTTAATAGCAGGCGAGGGAGATGTGCTGCGCAAAGTGAACAGCAGGTCACTGTGCTTATGTGTAACGATTGGCTGAAGGAAGTCATCATAGCACAAGTTGAAGCCAGTATGCATAAGGAACGCAAACGTAGAAACATCCACTAGCCTTTTATTTTTCTTTCAATTTCCTTGCTTGCAATGGCCCCATGAGGTATTAACTAGTAGCTAGCCCAGAAAGGTACGTCTAAGTGGTGGATAACATTTTGTTAGTGTAAGTGCAGTTTGTTTGCTAGATTCTTTAGTCACTTATAGATGTTCTTCAGCCTTACTAGCGTACAATATTCATCATTTCAAGAAAGAAAGAAAGCCGATTCGATACACAGTCTTGCTTTTATTTATTATATTTATTTTATGTGACAATACCGCTATCTCTTTGTGGAGTCGTTGCAGAGTGGCAGTTACAATCAAGAATGACGCACCTTCATTTTCCTAACGCCAGAATGCGACATATTTAGTACAGCGACAGTCTGCGACAAAAGTTTGGAACGTAGGATAATTTAAAAACAAAAGATAGCACGATCGTCTTGAGACCGATCCGGGCCTGATTACAGTTAAATGTTGCCATATAGCATCACCTGATCCAGGTTGGACGGGACTGTGAACAAAAGTGCCCGTGTGATATCGGCATCTGATACTATTTTTCTCCAACTTAGTAATCACAACACAAAGGCTTTCAAGAAATACTTATATCTGGTAACGATCACCACTGGTAAAGATTGAATGACAACATAGCCTAAATTAAAGCTAAGTAGCATTGCTCTCACTTTTTCACCGTCTTCCTATGTATGTTTAGTGTGCACAAAATATTCGCCAAACAGAGCAACAACATTTTGATATTTCACTTGTGTGTCTTTTCTTGAGCTCTACTTTGCAATGTTATTATTTAGTTTTCATTTTGTTGCCTATTGCCATTAGCTTGAATAGTGTCCTGACGTTATGACCACCTATATCAACCTCTTGATAAGAGATAAATAAAACAGGAAATGTGTCAGTAAACAGTAGGAACCTTGCTAATGCAATTAATCCTGCAATTGGTTTACTGGCCATTTCACAAATTAATTAACCTATTGTACTAGCGAATCATGGTAAGGCATACAGTGCGGCCTCCAATATCAAACTTTGCATACATGAGTGCTCTATTGAGGAATGTGGATATTATTATGGCTACCATAGGTTGATAGCAACTCCAATTTATTGCCTCGCCTCAATGCTGTAAAGCTGAGTACTAAAAAAATTTTTCAGTTAAGAATGTTTGCATTTAATCTTGTACAGTAGCATGCAGATACAATGTCATGCAAGCTGCACATATACAAATTTATTACATGTGCACTGTGGTCAAAGGGGCATTGTATTATAGATTTCAAGACTATAGTATTTTTACCTAACCACATATGCTGCATTCCAGTACAAAGCAAACTAAGCAAAAAATGTTTTGTAATTTATGGTAATAAACTTTTGCATTGATAGAAGGCTATATGTTAAACCAGCCTCTGAATCTCTTATGATGTCACATCATCTCTTTAAAAGATCTACATTTGATAAATTTTGCCAACACGTTCGAAAACTTGCTTTTTTTTTGAGAAGAGAGAGAAATATCAGAAGGAGAATTATACGATATGGAATTTTCAAATGTCGATTACTGGAGCAATATTTTTAAATGCACTAGAAATCCTGTCGAGGCCCATTTTTAATAGTATATATAATATATTGTTTTATAGTACTATGAACAAAATACGCTTCACCAAAGCGGTTAAAAAAAAAAGACTTCTGGACTGGAAACTGCGTGCGGAAAGTGAAGCCCGACCGCCATCTTACTCCAGGCACAATAAAACGTTAGAAAACAGCACAAGAACAGCGTATGGCTCACACGCTGTACAAAGTATCCATCCGAGGAAGAACAGCTGTACAGAGGTTCTTCCATGGATGGATACGGCTCAACATGCGTCCTAGTGTTACTGCTTTTCCAAAAAAGCCTTAAAGTCTTGGAAAATATTAGTGGAGAGCAAAATACCTGTAGTAATCCTATATTTATAAATTTGGTCAGGAGTAGCGATCTCTTATTCGATGTTTAGGCTAGCGGTCACGGTCACGGTCGAGAAAGCCATGTTTTGATGTAGACAAATGCCGTGGCTTCATGACTGCTGCAAAGACATAGTGAAACCTTCCACTCCAGATTTTTTTTTTTAATTTTGTACCTTCGTTTTCATTTTATTTCCTTAAAGACCCGCGAGGGGGTATTACATAAGGGGTGGGTAATTACAAACACAAAACATAGAAGCCAATGATTTAACATAAAAAGTGATTATTGATATTTTCTATGAACGATGATGGGCAGAGAATGGTTGCAATTTCACTGAGAAGGCTGTTCCAGTCTGGTGCGGTACGTGGAAAAAAACGAGGCAGAAAAAGCAGAAGTCCGGGAGCGTGGCCGAGCAACTTGAAGCAAATGGCTCGTGCAGTGAGATATGCGTGTTGCGGGAACGATATAAGGTGGGGCATGCAAGGGACTATGAAAAAGTTTGTGGAACAATGACAGGCTGGCAATACGACGGCGAAGTTCTAGATCTGGTAAACCAGATTCTGCTTTCAATCCAGATACGCTGACAGTTGAAGAGTATGAACAGTGAATAAATCTAGCGGCCCGGTTTTGAAGCGATTCGATGGCATGTGTAAGATTGTCGAGGGTCCCAAATTGGCGATGCGTATTATAGTTTAAGTCGAACGATAGATTTGTATGCTTGTAATTTTACGTGTTGTGGAGCGAGGCGTAAGTGGCGTTTAAGGAAACCCAGTGTTTTATTTGCAGATGAAATGATATTAGTGATGTGTATGTTCCATGAAAGATCGCTACAAAGAGTGACGCCCAAATACTTGTATGACGGAACATTTTCTAGCGGGATGGCATTAACTGTGTACAGATACACAAGCGGCATGTGGCAGCGATGGAATGAAACGACTTTACATTTACTCGGGTTAAGTTCCATGAGCCAGCGCTCACACTATTCCTGGAGGCAGTTTAGGTTGGCTTGTAAGGATGACTGTTTTGAAGTGTCAGTAACAGTGTCATATATAGCGCAGTCATCAGGAAACAGGCGGGTTTTACAGGTTAGGTTTGAAGGCAAGTCATTTATGTATATAAGGAATAAAAGGGGACCAAGAACCGAACCCTGGGGTACTCCCGACGTCACTGGAAGAGGATTAGAGGTACGGTTGTTGATATTAACTGACTGGGAGCGGTTTGTAAGGAATCCTCTGATCCAATTTAGTATGTTCGGGTGAAGATTTAACTGGGAAAGTTTTAGTCACAGTCGAGAATGGGGTACTTTGTCGAACGCCTTGGAAAAATCTAAGAATACGGCATCGGTTTGTAAGTTACAGTCCAGGTTAGTATGCAAATCATGAACAAATAAGGCCAGTTGTGTTTCACAAGAGAAACCTCTGCGGAACCCATGTTGTGCTGGATGAAAAAAGCTGTTTGAATCAAGAAAGAAATCAGGAAAACCTTCTTTGTATCATGATTTTGTACCATCAGGAATTACGCACGTCTAATCGGCATCGCTAATAATATATATCGCCATCGGAATACTCTTATCGCCGTGTGAAAAAGAAAAGAAAAAGAAAAACACCCTAGGCAAGAGTGCGGCTGTTGGCGTCTGGGACAACGCGCTGCGTTCACGCACAAGCGATTGAACCCAATAACCAGTCAAGTTTAGAGTTACCGCATATGCTACCTTTAGGTAGCATTAAAGGTAGCATATACGGTAACTCTAGCCAAGTTTGCATTCGCGCGCCGTCACGTGCGAGCGCGTTCAATCGCGATCATTGGGGGTCAGCGAGAGTGAGTGAGAGAGAGAGGGCGAGGAAGGTGGACGGAACTGACCTGCTTCCAAGGCTGCGCGTTTTGAATTTGCACTTCTTGCAGTTGAACTCGTTGGACCACATCGTCGTAACACCACAGCCACCCGGCAACACGCATTCGGAGGCGCCGCCGAACTAAACGTCGATCGCCTCGCCGAGGACGGACGCTCTGTGGGCGCGAAACGTTGTCGGATTATGCCGCGCACGCCCGGCCACCGCACCAGCCGCGCACAAAGACTGCAAAGTTCGAACGAACAGAGCGGCAGATTTCGCCGGACGGGCAAGGGTGGCGTGCATTGCAGAATGGGAAGAGGGGTGTCGTGTAACTCCCTTTCCTCGTGGTGCTAACATTGCACGACGTCCGAGGACGACAGCGCCGTCAACACGGCGCACACGGTTCCGTTTTCGGGAGAGAGAAACCGTGAAACGAACTCCAAAAAAGATGCATCGCCGAGCCTCCCTCGCGGCGAGCGCTCGCTCGACGAAAAGCGTACAGCGCCTCCCGGAAGAGCAACACAAACTAGCCAATCAACGATGCTTCCACGGCAAGGCGTCGCCGTCTGCGTCGACGCGGGGTCGCCGTTCCGAACACAAAGGCGCGACAAAGACAAAAGCCAGGAGTGACGCGATAACGAGGCTCCATCGAGCGTTTACAGAGGAAACTAATTGGGCGCGCAGGTTGTCAACGACGCACGAAACACTGCATTCCGCTGCCTAGCTAGTGATGCACCGTTTTAGCGAGACGAAAACCGCCCGCTCCCTTCCGGGCCCTCCTGCTGGGGAAGGCCTGCCAGAGGTCTTCGGCGCGACCGACGTACTTCTTCCTCTTTCGGGTAAAAACGGAGGAGAGTGAGGACAGGAACCGTACCTTGACCGCCCATAGGTCTCCCTCGCCTCAATTTTACGACGTAGCTAGGAAAAGGCAGCACAAGGACGACAACAGAGCCGCCAGATGAGCAGTGCTAAGAAAGTGAAGTGGGAGAGAGTGAAACAGAAGCAGTAAAGGAAAGAACGGTAGTGGACGTTTTGGGTGGAGAGGAAATACGAAGCCAGCTGCTTTGAGAGGCGGCGATCCGGCTGGGATTTCGGGAAAAACAAGACGGCGCTGTCTTGGGGGGTGGGGTGAGGGGACGATAGGGGAGGGAACGACCTCTATTTCTTTCTGGGAACCACCAATCTCCGATCTCCCGCGGCCTCGCGTCCTTTGTGTTCCCTACACGGGCGGTGGACATGAAAACGGGGATGACTCATCGTTGCCCTCAGGCGAAAGGGGGTGGTGCTGTGGTACTTTGAAGCCGCACTGTCTTTGTTCAGGCATCGTCACGCGGCACAGAAAAAAAAAAGTGCGGGAAGCCTTGAACGAAGCAGTCCGACGCCAGCGTAAGTAAAATAGAAATCGCATAAGGTAGGGCCAGGACGCATTGGAAAAACAGGTACAGGGAAGGACTGCACGAAACAAGAACAGGCCAGCGCGTTGTTTTCGTCACGCTCTGACCTTGGCAGTAAAAACAGATGCCAGATGGTTCTTGATTGTATCACAGGTGACTCTATGTAGTGCCTTTTTTATCATCGTCATCCAATATACAACCACTTCGAAACAAATGCGGAACAACCGGCAATGTAGATGCGCGACACTGTTGGCGTTTCTTTCCATACTTCCTGTAAAGCCGTGCGCAAGAGAAAACCATGCATCCGTTTTCAAACTCTTCTTGCCATGCTAGTGAACAACGAGAGTAGCTTATTTCGAAGATACCAGCTAGGACAACAGGACAATAAATTCGCCGTCGCAGTAAGCGGGCGTGGCTAGTATCTAGTACGCATGGGCCACGGCACCGTCAACCTCTATAAACTCCGCAAGAATACTATCTTGTTTTTGGACTCCTTTCACCACCACCACCCCTCTCTTTTTTTGTAGCTTGCATGGCATCACAGAACAAGGAAGGTGTCTCAGGACCTTTGCTCCGAACAGATCAAACTGTCGTGGTATTGAGATATTCGTTCATTTGGCAGTCCATCGGATTTTCGAATTTCTTTGCCACAAACATGTATCTAAAGAATATATCAGCCTTTTTTTTTTCTGTCGTATTTCTCCCAAGTCTATTACCGCTAAAAGGAAGTGTTTCCTTCCTGCTTTGGTGGCGTCTCCTTACACGGCAATTACGTCTCATAATGAAGTGTGTTCTGATGGAAAAAAAGGTGCCATACTAGTCCAACCACGTATGCGTAGTGAATTTCTGGTAAATTGGTGCTCACCTTACTACCCTAACAGCCTCAAAGGTGAAACGCACACACGCACCGAATTGTTTTCGAAAAGGGGTAAGGAACAAACTCCGTAAGGCGGCGAAGATTTCAAATGCCAGCGTTCCAATGCCTTCCGAAGCTGAAGAGTACGTTTTTCTTTTTTCTTGTCTAACGCTCCTTGTTTACATGTGGTGGAAGTTTCATTGGGCGGTCGCATTCTGATGGTGTAGGATTTCCAAGGCTGTAAAAATCAATCTGCTAACCATCCATTTCACTCTGGCTTTTAAAAAGCATCAAGAATAGTCGGGCCGTATAATCTAGAAGAAAGTGAGCGCGTAACGAGTGAAATCGGCTGCATCTGTCTTCTTTGTTTGTTTGTTTGTTTGTTTGTTTGTTTCTTTTTTCTTTCTTTCAGCGCGTGCTGAATGTATCTCGCGAGAAATCGTCCAGTGAAAAGTTAGGGGATCTTAAAGCTTCGCCTTTGAGAGTTGAACGCGATAGTCCTTTCCCTAGTGCGTGCTTGAAACACTTGGTGCATGAAACCTTTTAGAACTTGCTATGCTCCCACTACATGGCCTTGAGCAACTACTAGGCGCAGTATAGCGCGTGTGCCTTTCGTAGTGAGTTACCGGCTTTAAACCATGAAGTCGTTGTGATGATCGCATGTTGACAATGGGCGCTCGTCCCACGCAGTATTACTGCAGTAGTTCATGTTGCATTGCGAAGCGTGCATAAAGAACGCGAGTGTTCGGGAAGCATGAAAGTCACTTTCACTGTATTCACAAGCAGATGCCGTGTGCGTCCGCTTGCCACGCAAACGACCCTGGGTTCGATTACCACTCTGGCCCGTGATTTTTTATTAGTTATTTTATTTGCCTCGTTCTCGATTTTCCGTTCACGCATAAGACGACGATTTTTCGCTCGCAACCAACGACGCCGGAATTTCTGCAAAAGCGAGTTCTTTAACGCTATCGCGGTAAAATAATCGGAGGAGCCAATACGGAACAGCCATAAAAAATAAGGTTCGCTTCTGCATTGCCGTTGTCGGCGGCAAGCCGCGTGACAGAAAAAATTTTGTGACGTCACTGGTATTCGCCGTTGCGTCACGTCCTCGCGGCAAGCGCTGTCATCCCGTCGGACACATCAAGAGGAGAACATTCCACCCGTACCGGCCGGGAACACCGCTCGCAGAGGGGGGTATTCAGCGGAAAACCCCGCTCGACATGTGTCGCGCGCTTATTCGCCCTGCCAATCTGTCTTTTTTTTTTGTCTTCTTTTTTTGTTGCTCTGTTTAAGCTTTTCTCGCGGAGGCTATTCGGAGCGTTTTTCCCGTTTGTTTTTTTTTAAAACTGCATTTCTAATGCGGAAGCTATTTGCGGCAGGCAGTCCTAGATGGCCTTTCGTTTCTATCGCGTTGTCATGTGGAATGTACTTGTCATCAAAAAACGCGGACACAACACAATCCTATATGAAACGCGCTATGCATTAGCTAAGCACGCAGCGCTCGATAAATACGATTCTAATTTAAGGCCCCCCGGAGAGCCGCGTTCCTTCTGTATTATACTAGGCTCCAACGCAGAATTTTCCCAAGCTACTTTGCCCCATTGCGAAGCCTACTGCGCACAATGACGATCTCTAACTATATATCTAACAAAATCCTCGACGACAGAAGACGCGATCAATAGCTGTAACAATTACGACCACTTGCTGCGTGCGGAATTCATTATCGTCTGCCATTTTTTTATCGTCCACTGCGGAACAAAGGCATTGTTCGGCTGTGTCGCGCAAGCCGGTTCCGTTTTACGCCTCTGAATGTGTGAATTTTCTTCCGCCCGTGGTAGCGCTTTCCACCCCTTTGGTACCGCGACGCAATCAACACTTGACAGACCCGCCCGGCGCATTACGTGTCATTTTGGGGTGAAACGGTGATGCCCGTAAAACAAACAATCACGTACGAATTTGTACGTGCCGCAGAAAGGAGACGAGTTCCACAACTCAACACTAAAAATGACGAACGCGAACAGTTAGCCCTACAAAACATGGAAAAAGACTTCGATTTATTTCTTTTTGAAGAGAGGTGTTAGGTTAACAGTGGAAACTGTGCTAAACTTTGGTGCTTCTCTTTTGGGACATTGCCACAGGGAAGCATTCAATGCGGTTTGCAGTTTTATTCAGGCTACCGAACGTATGCCTCTGTAAATCTCCACTCTAATGAATAATGTTGCGTAACGTTAATAAGTGTTTGTAAAAACACTTACAATATGAATGGTTAGGTGAAGTAAACGCACTTGTCTGGGCATCCCAAAATCTCAGAATTACACTCATGGTCCTTTCTTAATGTATTAATAAATGTATTTTTATATAAATGCATTCGTAAGCATTGTGGTAGTGCTCATAAAAAAAAAAAACTTTTTGCTACGCTTTCTTGGCCAATCCTTCAGAGCGGGTATGTGCCACATTTTAGAGGAATCAAATCAAATCAAAACCCAACAAAAGGCTGCCGAAGTGACTATTTGTTAACTATGTCCGGGTCGTCCCAGCTATCTCTGCCAAAGTTTAAATGCTTATTTAGTATGTCGCACTATTTTATCAGCGAACATGTTTAGCGAATCGTTCCTAGTTCGACGAACCGAAAAACTATCATCAAATGTATGTACTTCAGAAATTGTGTTACTGGTCCACTAAAAACAAAAACAGTTATCCGGATTAGGTTGTACTCGATCTGGATGAGTTGCAGCAGTAATTATTGCTGACCGGGATCAAGAAATACGATACTGATCGACCCTTATCGCGATCAAAATGTCCGCGTGAAAAATGACAGCGGTTGAAATGTCAGCCTTTTTTTTTCCTTCTTCAGGAATGTCTGCGTAGTTGCATTAAGATGCACGTTAACAATCCCTGGATCAAAATAATTTGGTGCTTCCACTCTCAGTGTTTACAATGAGATCACAGTTATGTCGCCTAAAAACCGCAAATAAATTTCCATGCCAATTCAGCGTTCTGATCGTGACCGTGATCTG